TCTCTACTTTAAAGAGTCCTCTCCTGCTGATGTTCAGGTGTATATCAGTATGTAGTGTCTCTACTTTAAAGAGTCCTCTCCTGCTGATGTTCAGGTGTATATCAGTATGTAGTGTCTCTACTTTAAAGAGTCCTCTCCTGCTGATGTTCAGGTGTATATCAGTATGTAGTGTCTCTACTTTAAAGAGTCCTCTCCTGCTGATGTTCAGGTGTATATCTGTATGTAGTGTCTCTACTTTAAAGAGTCCTCTCCTGCTGATGTTCAGGTGTATATCAGTATGTAGTGTCTCTACTTTAAAGAGTCTCTCCTGCTGATGTTCAGGTGTATATCAGTATGTAGTGTCTCTACTTTAAAGAGTCCTCTCCTGCTGATGTTCAGGTATATATCAGTATGTAGTGTCTCTACTTTAAAGAGTCCTTTCCTGCTGATGTTCAGGTGTATATCAGTATGTAGTGTCTCTACTTTAAAGAGTCCTCTCCTGCTGATGTTCAGGTGTATATCAGTATGTAGTGTCTCTACTTTAAAGAGTCCTCTCCTGCTGATGTTCAGGTGTATATCAGTATGTAGTGTCTCTACTTTAAAGAGTCCTCTCCTGCTGATGTTCAGGTGTATATCTGTATGTAGTGTCTCTACTTTAAAGAGTCCTCTCCTGCTGATGTTCAGGTGTATATCAGTATGTAGTGTCTCTACTTTAAAGAGTTCTCTCTTGCTGATGTTCAGGTGTATATCAGTATATAGTGTCTCTACTTTAAAGAGTCCTCTCCTGCTGATGTTCAGGTGTATATCAGTATGTAGTGTCTCTACTTTAAAGAGTCCTCTCCTGCTGATGTTCAGGTGTATATCAGTATGTAGTGTCCTCTACTTTAAAGAGTCCTCTCCTGCTGATGTTCAGGTGTATATCAGTATGTAGTGTCTCTACTTTAAAGAGTCCTCTCCTGCTGATGTTCAGGTGTATATCTGTATGTAGTGTCTCTACTTTAAAGAGTCCTCTCCTGCTGATGTTCAGGTGTATATCAGTATGTAGTGTCTCTACTTTAAAGAGTTATCTCCTGCTGATGTTCAGGTGTATATCAGTATGTAGTGTCTCTACTTTAAAGAGTCCTCTCCTGCTGATGTTCAGGTGTATATCAGTATGTAGTGTCTCTACTTTAAAGAGTCCTCTCCTGCTGATGTTCAGGTATATATCAGTATGTAGTGTCTCTACTTTAAAGAGTCCTCTCCTGCTGATGTTCAGGTGTATATCAGTATGTAGTGTCTCTATTTTAAAGAGTCCTCTCCTGCTGATGTTCAGGTGTATATCAGTATGTAGTGTCTCTACTTTAAAGAGTCCTCTCCTGCTGATGTTCAGGTGTATATCTGTATGTAGTGTCTCTACTTTAAAGAGTCCTCTCCTGCTGATGTTCAGGTGTATATCAGTATGTAGTGTCTCTACTTTAAAGAGTTCTCTCTTGCTGATGTTCAGGTGTATATCAGTATATAGTGTATCTACTTTAAAGAGTCCTCTCCTGCTGATGTTCAGGTGTATATCAGTATGTAGTGTCTCTACTTTAAAGAGTCCTCTCCTGCTGATGTTCAGGTGTATATCAGTATGTAGTGTCTCTACTTTAAAGAGTCCTCTCCTGCTGATGTTCAGGTGTATATCAGTATGTAGTGTCTCTACTTTAAAGAGTCCTCTCCTGCTGATGTTCAGGTGTATATCTGTATGTAGTGTCTCTACTTTAAAGAGTCCTCTCCTGCTGATGTTCAGGTGTATATCAGTATGTAGTGTCTCTACTTTAAAGAGTTATCTCCTGCTGATGTTCAGGTGTATATCAGTATGTAGTGTCTCTACTTTAAAGAGTCCTCTCCTGCTGATGTTCAGGTGTATATCAGTATGTAGTGTCTCTACTTTAAAGAGTTCTCTCCTGCTGATGTTCAGGTGTATATCAGTATGTAGTGTCTCTACTTTAAAGAGTTCTCTCCTGCTGATGTTCAGGTGTATATCAGTATGTAGTGTCTCTACTTTAAAGAGTTCTCTCCTGCTGATGTTCAGGTGTATATCAGTATGTAGTGTCTCTACTTTAAAGAGTCCTCTCCTGCTGATGTTCAGGTGTATATCAGTATGTAGTGTCTCTACTTTAAAGAGTTCTCTCCTGCTGATGTTCAGGTGTATATCAGTATGTAGTGTCTCTACTTTAAATAGTTCTCTCCTGCTGATGTTCAGGTGTATATCAGTATGTAGTGTCTCTACTTTAAAGAGTCCTCTCCTGCTGATATTCAGGTTCATATCATGTCTCTGTGACAGACACTACAGAAAAGGGAAAACTCACAAAAGTTACAATAGGGCCTCTTTAAAGCGTCTAACAATGACTCACATCACAGATAGATGTAGGCTGTGTTTAGTCCTTTTGTTCCTCAAACTAACTTTCTTTTGTTATTCTTGGCATGTGTTTTTGTTTGGGTCTTAATGCAGAGGCGTGATTTATAGACATCATTCCACCTGAGCTGTTTTTTTGTTTAG